AGGCTGGTAACCCTTAAACCATAACAGTTGTTGAGGTCTTTTGGTTGGGTTTCTAATTTTTTTTTAATTGAAGTTGAGGTGAAAAAGACAGCAGGAAAAAGAGGAATGTGTTAGGTATTTAATGTGAGACTTTGAAATGAGCTATGTCTTTACTTCTAATCTAAATTAAAATTTCTGAAGTTTGTTGCTTTTTTGCCTTAAATTCCAAGATTGTTTTTTACTTAAATTTGCTTATTCTTTTTCTTGTAATCAGAATTAATGTTCAGAAAAATGTCCTTTTTTGTAGATCATACAACACTTTAAAATTGATGGAAGATCTGAAACTTTTGTACAGAATAGCAGGACTGCAAGGCAAAGGCATATGTTTTCTTTTTACAGACAATGACATCAAAGATGAATCTTTCTTGGAATACCTGAACAATGTTTTATCATCAGGAGAGGTAAGATGACTTCTCATTATTGCTTTTCTGCTGTTTAATTTTTATAATCTTTAAATAAAATAACCAAATTTATTTGAATAGTGTTCAAGGCCACATTCGATGAGGCTTTGTGCAACCTGGTCTAGTAGGAGGTGTCCCTGCCCATACCATGGGGGTTGAAACTAGATGATCTTTAAGGTCTTTTCCAACCCAAACCATTCTATGATTCTATGTCAAGGGGCACACTTTCACAAACTGAAACTCAAGTGCTTTTTATCATTAAAGTATTATAACCTAGTATAAGGTATTGTTTCCATTTTCTAGGGTGAGACAAAGCTATTGTAAAATTAAGAATGATATCATCACTCCATACAGAGAAATTGTCTAAGTCAGACCCTTTTAAATGTGTTGGCAAGCTGTCAGGACCATGAAAATAGCTTAAAAAATTTGAGACTTGGATAATATCACTAAAATTTAACAAAATTTTCTGTTAAATTAAATATCTCATTAGTGTACAGTTAGTTTTTGTATGGTAAATTTATGCCCAGAATGCATGGGCATTTATTTATTTATTATTTCAGGAGTGTATTTCAGAGTAATTTCTACTAGTTATTAGAATACTAAGAAAAGAAAGCAAAGCTATTGCACATGAATTATTTTATTTTTAAATGGGAGAGAGGGTTTTACTTTTGCAGCAATTTAGATTTCAGTGTGCTTAATGGAATCGCTTCAGTAAAAGTTTCAATTTAAAGGAGTGGGATGGGTCCTAATAACTTCAGTGTCTGAAATGGAAGTTCCTTCCTGAAATGCTATGTATTAAATTAACTTTGATATATACTTTATTTTGGATTATCTCATAAAGTGTGAAAAAATATTCCTTCTTCTCAAAGGTGTCAAACTTATTTGCACGTGATGAAGTAGATGAGATCATTAGTGACCTCATACCGACCTTCAAAAAGGAACATCCACGTAGACCTCCAACTAGTGAGGTTCTGTATGACTACTTCATGACCAGAGTCCGTCAGAACCTTCATGTCGTTCTTTGCTTTTCACCAGTAGGTGAAAAATTCCGAAACAGGGCCCTGAAGTTCCCTGCTCTTATTTCTGGATGCACTGTAGATTGGTTCAGTAGATGGCCTAAGGATGCTTTAGTGGCAGGTACGTGCAGGCTTTATGTTTGCAGATATTTAGTTCTCTGATCAGTGGTCATTAAGTTGTTATAATTGCTTTGAATTTTGCTAACACACTGGCAGAAGGAACTTACTTGGTTCTAAAATTTGATGTAGATATTTTCTTTTTTAAAGCTTACTACATTAAACTGGTGAAATATTTCTCACAGAGGAAATACTTTGAACAGAGTTTGAAGAAAAATCTCCCTTGAAGATGGTGTAAAGGCATTAGCAAAGAACGCAGAATACTACTATAGGAAGAGATTATTAGTGACTATGCCTGTGATCAGGCATAAAAAGGAAGGGCATGATTACCCAATCCCTAGTAGCTTGCAGTTAGACAGGTTCAGAGAGAAAAAAAGTGTGCAGTTGGACACTTTGGAAGTGAAAGAATGCCAGATCCTTGGCTGTACATTTAACTGAGAAGTGTGGAATAATGTTAAGAACCTGATGGTGGAGAGTAAAGAAGACTCGGGTTTCAGAAGCTGTGTGAAAGCTGACATAATATATGCTGATATGTTTTATATTGCTTTGTTTAAAAGCTGTTTTCCTGAATATTTACTTATATTTATGTTTTTCTTTCTTGCCTAAGTATCTGAACATTTCCTGTCCTCATTTGATATGGACTGCACTGCTGATACAAAGAGGGAAATTGTGCAGTGTATGGGCTCATTCCAGGATGGAGTGGCAGAGAAGTGTTCTGATTACTTTCAAAGATACAGACGATCTACACATGTGACTCCCAAATCCTATCTGTCCTTTATTCAGGTGTATAAAACCACATACAAAGAAAAGCATGCTGAAGTGCAGACATTAGCAAACAGGTAAACTGCTCAGTTTGCTATTATCTTTAGTTTTCATCCCCTGATAGGTATATTCTGTCATGTTTTGTTTCAAGGAATGGCTTGTCTCAATGCACAGCAAAAGGATTTTTTAAAATAAATTTCCTAAAATTGTGTGAAGGTGTAACTTAATCAAGTATTGTGGTTGCTCTTGTCATATAAATTAAAGGCTATGTATTTTTGGAGCGGGAGAAAGGATAGTGATGTATGAAAAAGCAAGGTGGTGGGGAAAGAAGAGTGAATAACAATTATTCCCATGTATTTTTAATGAGTAAAAAAAACCATCTACGTGTAATTTCATAATATATTCACAATAGCATTTAATTAACCAGAAAGCTATTATTTTTTTCTTACTAAACAGTTATGTCCTCCTGATACAAACATGTAAGAAATACCCTTGGTGTTTTTGGTTTTGTGATCACAGAGCCTAATTTAGGCTGCTGAGCTTTTTACTTGTAGATTATCAAAGTCTTTTCGATATATTAATTCTTCTTTACAGATATTTTATTAAAGTAATGAAGTCTATTTGCAAATTTATTCATTTCACTTTGAAACATTCTTTCACTTCAAAGCCAAGTTGAGTTAGTAATCTTTACTTACGTAATAGGTGAAGACTTGCCATGGAGAGAGGTCTGGTCCTGTTTTCCTCCTTCTGGTGCCTCAAGTGTACCAGATTAGTTCGTACATGTCCCTTTGTTTCACTGAACCTTAGTTGCACAGTCTGAATTGCTTCAGCAGGTGTTACTCATTATCTATTCTCCTGCATTTGTTTAGCTGTCCAAGTACTGCTTAGCCTTGCAATAGCAGCCTCTGTAGAGGCCATTTAAACTTGTCTGCAAAGTCCCAAGTGAGGACTTACTTTTCGATAGACAAAACGAACTTTTGAAGAGGCATTTTAATACTGAATGAGAAATGTGTTATCTTAATGCTATTTTTCTGTTACTCTCTTTTGGTTAGTTTTGATTTCAATATTTTGATTTTTATTAGCCTTTTCATTATCTTCTTAAAACAAGAAATAGTGATGTGAGATATTTCTCAGGATTCTAGTGATTAGAAAATGCTTTCTACTGTATAGAAATCAGTCCTTGAAGTATCAGGTTGGAGTCAACAGGGATGGTAATGTATATGGAACCAACCTATAGGATTTTTATGCAATGATAAAGGCATACTGTTTGAGTTAGAAGTGGGTAAAATTTCAAGCCACAGACACTCTTTGTGTAATTCTTTATTGTTCACTTTCTTGATTCTGAAGACATCAAATGCTTGTAAGATCCTCCACAAGTTTTATTTTTGGTGTAAAATATCTTTCACTAGTGTGTGTTCTGGCTGGTGTGATTCATTCTATTGATGGAATAATTTGGAAAGTGGAGTGCAGAATACTTAGGGAAATAAATAATTCTTATTTCACTTTTTAACTCCAGAATAAATACTGGACTGGAAAAATTGAAAGAGGCCTCTGAGTCAGTGGCTGCTCTAAGCAGAGAGCTGGAAGTAAAAGAAGAGGAACTTCAAATTGCCAATGAAAAAGCTGATATGGTATGTACAGTCTTCAAAGAGTATTGCTGTCTGTTTTTTTTTTATCTTTTTATTTCTTCTATTTTGAAAAGATTAAGTAAATGGAAGTTAAGTACCGGAAAAAAGTGGAACTCAAACTTGTAACAGTGACAAAATTTATCTTGTTTGAGTTTTCTGGTTCTGGAAGTCAAAAGATAAAATTTTACAACAAAAATTAATACATTCTTCCAACTTTTCTTTAATATTTGGCATGTGGGTTTTCTCACATTCTAGGTACTGAAAGAAGTTACTGTAAAAGCACAGGCTGCTGAGAAGGTGAAAGGTGAAGTTCAGAAAGTGAAAGACAAAGCTCAAGCTATTGTAGACAGTATTTCAGTTGACAAAGCCATTGCTGAAGAGAAGTTGGAAGCTGCTAAGCCTGCTTTGGAAGAGGCAGAGGCAGCCTTACAGGTTAGTACTTGAACCATGTATAACTTTATTTTACTGTTAAGAAAATGTGCATTGAAACCACATATAAGATTGTTGTGGTTTAATTCAGTAAGCGGCTAAACACCATGCAGTTGTTCACTCACACCCATCCTCCCTGGCTGGGTGGGAAAGAGAATCAGAAAAGTAAAAGAACTCATCAGTTGAGATAAAGATGTTTTAATAATTAAAATAAACCAAACTGAAATAATATTAATACAAATGAATTGTAATAAGGATAGAAACAATGATAATCAATCAAAGTTTCACTCAGCTCACAAATAGCAGTTGCTGGCTAGGCACCAGTGGAAATGCAACAGGGGAGAGGCAAACCTCAGGAACCAAATGAGACCTTGTGGAGATGGCTGCCATCCGAAAAGGGAGAGAGATTGTCCTCAGCAAACTCCCCACTTTCTAGTTAGTGTGACGTTTATGGCATAGCATACATTCTGTTGGTCAGCTTTGATCCCACCTGGGTCATCTGTCCCAGAAAATCCCAGGCTTTCACTTCTCTCCTCATCCTCTTGTGCAGAGAGAAGGGGAAAAAATTACCATTTTAGCATTACCCAGATTTCAACTGTTCACCATGGAACTCCATGTCTTTCAATATACTCTTTTTGTAAAGCTTTTTTAATAGAGTGATAACATTCTGCTCATGTCTTTACATGATGCATCACTAGTGATGAAAAAAGATGAATTTTTTTGATGTTGCATAATAATTTTTTAACGTTTGTGCAGCTTTCTGTATAAGAGAAAGCTTACAGCATTTCTGTAATGAGCAGCAGTAGTAGGATCTTAAGTAAACCTAATACTAGAGGCTAGCAGGGAGTTGGCATCTCAAGAACTAGAAAAGAATGATGGAAAAACCTGAAGGATAGATAAATCTCAAAGGCTGTTATGTAGATTTACTGGAAGATTTCCTTTCCACTTGAGTAGCTGCCAACAGTTCTGATAGTTAAAGACTATTGTAATGTTCATTCAAATAAAAGTCTTCAAAATCTAGTATAAATAAGTTTTCATGGATAAATCCTTAACAGTCTCTGACTGCCATGATTCTTGAAGGGCAGAACGGAAATGTCTAAATGAATGCTGATGACATGACAGCTAAGGTTGGAATAAGAGAGCAGGTCTGGATCATAAGATGGTGATACTTAGCTATAGGAGAAAGGTAAAAAAAAACAAACCACAAAACCCAGAGGTGGGCAAGCATTCTGACAAGCGCATAAACAAACAACACTGTCTGAGACAAGAGAAGAGCACAAGTGTCCTGTGTCCTGTTCTACATCTTATTACAGCTTACTTTCTGGTTTTGGCTAAAGTTACAAAACCAAAACAATACTACTTTTCTTGAAATTTTAGGTGTCTAATAAATGAAAATCTGATTGTAAGGAAAAACTACAATAGCATTATTATGAGGCTTTACAATAAGGAAAGGCAGTTGGGCTTAATCTTGAAATTCTTGCATTTGCTATAGTGAATTGCTTTGCTTGTGCCTAAAGGGGAAAGGAAAAAGCAAGCCAATTAGCATGCATGTCTGTATTTTCAGCATGCACTCATTCATTCAGAAACTCCTTTAAGCAATAAAATTCTCTGTATGCATCTGTATATAGGGCTACATCTTTCAAAAAAAATGAATCTCACAATCATTATGGATTTGCACATTTCCAGATAGGTATTCCTATTATGGAATTCTGCTTGCAGTGCAGACAAATTTCTATTAAAATATTGGATAAATATAAAGGTCACTTCCCAGATAAAAAAAACTGTGGTTGGTTATTTCACTCAATTTTTTACATATTTTAGGACAGCTAAATGCTATATTAAGAAACAGATAGGTACAAAACACCTTATAAGCATTTTCTAACATACAGTGAGATTAATTTTTTAAAGTTTGAGTAAGAATTGTCAAAGTTCAATAGAACTTAGTTACACTTTGCCTGCAATAAAAATGACACATTAAATGCACAACTTGACGTAAATAAATAAATAAAAAATAAATGCAACTCTTTTGCCACAATTTGGATGGTAGCAAAAAAGGCTGGGCTGAATTTCCTAAAGGTCACTAAGAAACTGTGGTTGAAGTTTCTGCACAGTTATCTGGAAGAAACTCTGCTCGATTACCAGATGCACACTGAACCCAACAAGCAGCAAAATATTGAAGGGTAATAAAAGGCAGGCAGAAGGAAGGTGATCAGGATAATCTGCAATAATTTACAAATCCTTTCTTGAAGTATAAACACAAGTAATTAAAAACTTCCTCTATGAATTCCCAGTGAGGCATGTGCTAGTCTTAGAAGCAAGGTGTCATAGCACCTGCAATAACCTGTTGCTTACTCAGGCTGATTAAACTTTCTTTGAATAAGTAAAGCTTCTGACCCAAGTTATGTCTGTTATAGGAGTGGGCCTGCTCATCAGCAGTTATTGTTGTTCAGTGTTTTTTCGCTCCGTATGTGGTGTAGTATGCATTACTGCTAGAATCAGTGCTTTTTCTAAGGAAACATCTCCAGTAGACTTTTCTGGTAGTCCTTTCTGATCCATGATGTACACTAGAGTTATGAGTTATAGTAGTAGATATGTGCCCTAGGTTTACTTGGTCTTACTTAATAGGGCCTAGGGTTTTATGCATTATTATAATTTATTTGCGTTTCTCACAGATCTGCTTCTACAACAGGAACATTCCCAGTAAGATGAATCAGAAGGTACAAAACTATAAGTATATCAGGCCTTCTCAATGGTTTCCTTAGTACACCTTCATTTGCCAACAGAATGCATTTTCCTTTCTATACTCAGTTCCGGTCAATAGGTTTGCATTTTAAAAAATAGGTAAAATTTCAAGATGTTTCTGTTTTGATGTTTACTTTGTCAAAAATGTGCATGATAGTTTTAAGCTTTTAGGTGCTGCTGTGGAGGTGGTTGAGCTGAGGCTTCCTAGTAGTTGCTAGGAGGCAATAATGAAAATCTGTATGGAAGGTCCTTCTAGCTTCATGCTTTTTAGAGATAAAATTATTTTCAATCAAAAATAATATGCACAATTTTTTTTTCTTCTCCAATGGCTTAATACTCTTGGTGAGCTTGTACTCTATGTCTTATTAAGTAAACCATAACAGTAATTGCTTTACTGTTTGTTTTAAATTCACAGACAATAAAACCTACAGATATTGCCACTGTCCGCACACTGGGCCGACCTCCTCACCTCATTATGCGTATCATGGACTGTGTGTTACTGCTCTTCCAGCGAAAAGTAAACAATGTGAAAATTGATCAGGAAAAATGCTGTACTATCCCATCATGGCAAGAATCTTTGAAACTAATGACAGCTGGGAACTTCTTACAGAACCTACAGGTGCTTGTGCAACCTCTTTTTTGTTGTGGGTTTTTTTTCATTTAGGAAAATAAGGGACAATGTTTTCTCTGGTGTTCACAGGAGAACGAATGTGCAAGCGGAATTAGACACAAAATAGATCTGAAATGTTAAGGGCTTAAAAATAAGTATATCATAATGAAATACACTTGAATTCTTCTAACAAAGTCAGGTCATAAATCAACTATAGTTTCTCCTAAGCAAGGCAATGAAATTACTTTCAGTGACAAATGATTCAAAGCTTTAAGCATTTGGTTTGAATAGCCATTACTTATCTGTTTCATTAAAGCTGATAGAAAACATCTTTTTTCTGGTACCTAACTTTCATTAATTTTCGACATTGCAACATGTGCAGTGACTTGCAAAAGAATAGTTGATTATTAGGATGTACAAAACCAGAATTTTTTAAATTTTTAATTTTTTTTAAAATTTTCAGCTTCATAGCATGTGTCTAGGGAAATGGAAAGAGTAACTGGTAAATAAATCCCAGTCCATAATATAAACTAATAATATTATGATTAATCTACTCAAAATAAGTTGTACCTTTTCCTGCCCCACCGAATGTTACTATCTCAAATTTCTGTATTTTGAAGAGTTTATATAGTGTGCCTCTGGTCCACCAGGATATCACAGATGACCAACCTTGTTTGGCTGGTATTACCATGGATGCCGTTTGTGTAGTATTCACATTGCATCTACTCATAACAATTTTTAACTTATTGAAGGTATTTAACATTTCATTGCTTGTGCATAAATAAACCTATTTGTCCTTCAGGGAACAACTATTTTTCAAGTTCATCGAACTTGATGAACTTTCATTTTACCTTGTAAATGAATCTTTAAAGATGACCAAACTTATACAGACTATTTGACCATCAAAATAAATTTGAGGGAGAAAATTGAGAGTTTTTGGGAATGAAAAAGGAAAGAGATGTTTTTTGGAGAAAAGAGATGGTCAAAAGAAATTCTTAAAATTGAAATACATTCCATTAACAAGATAAGGTAATTTAAGGAGAAGATAGCTGGCTTTGCCCTTCCTTGCAGGATGTATGTTTATGAACCAGAGCTGAGCTTTTCTTTTTGGTGATTGTTATTTATTCAGTCTTAATGAAAATGGAATTTCAAGCAGGTTATCAGTGGTATTTTGTATCAACAATTAGCTATGTAATGGTAATGGATAGTGTAAGATAGCAAAGAACACAAATGAAGGCAAGCTTTTTTCCATTCTATAAGAATATAGACTAGAGTGGAATGACTTTGGCAAGCTTTCAAAGATGCATGAGACAGAGAACTTTGTATTAGCTGTTCATACTTAACATTTGTGATTGTGTTCTGTGTGTGCTGAAATAAATATATGTGTAGTTTACATATATTACATACATTACGTATATTGTTCTTTTTTTTTTTAGCAATTTCCAAAGGACACAATTAACGAAGAAATGGTAGAACTTTTGAGCCCTTATTTTGATATGGTGGACTACAACATTGAGACAGCAAAGAGAGTATGTGGGAACATTGCTGGCCTTTGCTCGTGGACCAAAGCTATGGCTGTATTTTTTTCCATCAACAAAGAAGTATTACCTTTAAAGGTAAGTTTAGTAATCAGTGGGAGGCACACAAATAACCTTTGCTCCTTTTTCTCCCTACCTGTGCGCACTTGAGGATTTAATCTGCTGGAAACTTCAGCTGCCTTATTCCAACTGGTGCATACCTCTGTAGAAATTTTTATCTTTAAAATAATAACTCTACATTAAAATATATTTCAATATGTAACACCACTTGAAAGTGGTCAAAATTATGAAAGAGATTGTGCAGTTTTATGCTGCTAGGCCCCTTCTGAATGGGGTAGAAGCAACTGTGATCTGGTTTAATTCACTATTACAATTGCTTTACCTTAATTAAGAATTAAGTAGGAAAAAACCACAAAAACTGTTTCTTTTAATGTTCTGGATCTCAGTTCATAAGAATACTGTACAGACACTCCAGTCATCAGTGTTACTGAGAGAAAACCAGGCCTAGATAGTTGTTAAAAGGTAAGAATGAAAGTCAGGAAGAACATGGTCAAGCATGATTTTAACACAGAAAGGCTTGTATTTATAATAGGACTGAGTGGGAGGGAAGCAGGATTTGTAGTTAGAGGTAGTATCTTTCATTAGACAAAGCATACTGGTTGGAGAAATCAAATGGGCTTCTAGTGGCACCAGTCGTTTTTGCAGGCCGGATCAAACTTTTGTGTTGGAGAGTGGCTGATATTCCCAGAAGTTTTTCTAATTATTTTTTCTAATTGATGTTAGACCAACTACTTAACTGCAGCTACTTGCAATAAGACGTTATTTTGTTGTAAAAGTAAAATAAAAAGTTTTAATGACTGATGAATGATGAGTAAAACTCTTTGAGATACATTATAGCAAATCCTTTGAGATGTTGTATATATGAATGTACTTTTATATTTGTGTGTTTCATAGGCTAATTTAGCAATTCAGGAGAATCGCCTAACTACTGCTATGCTGGATCTGCAGAAAGCTGAGGAACAACTGGGTGCCAAGGAAGAAGAATTAGACATTGTGCAGGCAGAGTATGAAAAAGCGATGAGAGAAAAACAGGTGAACTGCTCTTTATAGAAAAGAAGTTGCCACCCTTATCTTAAGCAAAACATAATGCATTCTGTCAATTTCACTGTTATTCCTTGGAAAGTATGTTGATGGATAGAGGAGAGAGAGAGATTATTTGGAGCCCACCTCTCTCCTTCACCACTGATCTTCTCCCCACCTGCCTCCTATCTCCTAAACTATTTGGGTTATTTGTTGAGTGTCTACTACTGTAACATCAAGTTTCATTAATGTTTGTTATTTCTGTATAATGTATTTGAAATTCTGGGTAGAATTCCCCAACGTTAATGGGTACCAGGCAGTTTGCATACCATTTAACATGTATGCCAACATAAAAGCTAAGAATGAAAATATTAAAAAGTTGAATCACATTTATGACAGATGTTGATAGTTTGTCCTGATAGATTTTACTTCCATCCCACTTTCCCTCCTTCTCTGCATGGCGATGCCAGCACTTCAGAATATATTTTTAAGCTGTTGTTTAACTGTTGGTTTTATTAGATGTAGAGATTTTTCTGGCCTATCAGATACCTGACTGTAAACCATATTTCTTGGTGTATTGTTTTCTTTAGACTTTGCTTGAAGATGCTGAGCGTTGCCGTCATAAAATGCAAACTGCCTCAAGTCTTATAAGTGGTTTAGCAGGTGAAAAAGAGAGGTGGACAGAGCAGAGTAAAGAATTTGCTGCACAAACCAAGAGGCTAGTGGGTAAGCTTTTGTCCACACCTTTAAACTTGCAACTTAGTCATGTATTGACTTTAGTCATATATATATATATTTTAAAAAAATACAATGGCTGTGTATCCTGTCCCTGGGCTTTTACTTGACATGTGTAACATGCAGTGCATACTTGGGAAATTAACGTTTTAACTTGACTGATGTTTGTAGGAAGCAGTCCAATGAGAGTGATGTTATAGAGTGCCAATAAAATGTCTATAACTGACAATACATATGGAGGAGAGAAAGACTGATACCCAGACACTGACAGTTATACATAGCAGTGTTTTTAAATGCAGTTACTAATGTTAAGAAAAATTTTGTTTCTTAGAAGTTAATTTTTACTTTATAAATATGTACTTGGAAGCTCAAGTACTTTGTAATGAAGAATTAATTTATTAGTTAGATCAAGTAAATTAAATTTATCTTGTCTTTTACTGAGTTCTGAAGTTTCTTCTCTGACTTTTACCTTGAAATGCTGTAAAAAGCAGATATCAGTGTATAGGTTGTATTATAGTAGATATGCTGTATAATGTATATGAGTATTATTAAAAATACAGAATACCTTCCCCATACCGCCTCATGTTTTTTTTTATAGATAACTTGAAAAAATCTAAAAAATATTAGTACTCACAGTATCTTCTCCAGTTTGAATCCTGCTCGAAATTCTTAATTGAGAAGTACAAAAAAACCCCAACTATGCTCTCATAAAACTCAGGGGGGTAGTTTTGAAGCTGACCAGAAGATTAAAACTTGTTGCATTTAATAACTCTACAATGATATCTCTTACAAAAATTTATCATCAGTAGTAATAATTATAATTTATTTGTTCTGAATTAGTACTCCTAAATAAAGTTTCTTTTCTCCCTCCAAAATATTGTTTAAGCCTGTTCTCATGATTGTCCAAGGAAATGATGGAATTGGAGGTTTATGAGTATGTTTATTCTGCCATGTCCTGTTTGTGCAGGATCTGGTATTTGGAATAGTGCTCTGTATGTGAGTGTTGACCTTGGCTGGCTGCCAGATGCCCATCTCTTGATTCCTACAGTCACATTGTAAGGATAAAGTAAACATGGCATCTACTGTAAGGTAGTTTTGTCTTACTGAGTAATGATCCTTGGGAAAAAGGCTGATTTCTCTTGTTTATGGGTTAAAGTCTGTTCTTCAGTTACCAGCCAAACCATATAACAACTAGAAAAGGAAGCAGCTCATTCATGAATAGAATTGGCAAAGTTGTAATGTTTTGTTTTCTTTTTTTCCTTTTTAAGGTGATGTACTCTTGGCTACAGCTTTTCTGTCCTATTCTGGTCCTTTTAACCAGGAGTTCCGCAGTCTGCTATTAAATGACTGGCAAAAGGAAATGAAAAGCCGGAAAATCCCCTTTGCTAACAACTTGAACCTCATAGAAGTGTTGACTGATGCTCCAACTATCAGTGAATGGAACTTGCAAGGATTGCCAAATGATGACTTATCCATACAGAATGGAATAATTGTCACTAAAGCGTCTCGTTATCCTTTATTAATCGATCCACAGGCACAGGGTAAAATATGGATTAAAAATAAGGAAGGCAGAAATGAACTTCAGGTAATAGTAATGCTGGTGATTTCATAATCCCTAGAAACTCTTAGCTCACAAAACATTACAATTCAGTGATTCAAATAATACTTAGCAAATGCCTTTTATCTAAAATGCCTAGTCTGACTATATTTTGGTAGATTTGAGGTTTGGTTGGATACGAAAATGTACATTTGGAACTTCTTAGTACCAGTGACTCAATTTCTTTTATTAATTTATGTTAATGAAGCATTAATGTTGGAAGATAGGTTCAATGGGTAATGTCTGATAAGGACTGAAGCAGATTTTAGGAATACTAAAAGTATTAGGAAACAAACCCCAAATAAGTTCATATAAATGTTTAAAAACTAAGATGCACAGCATGATAATTTATCATATTTTAATCAGAAAATATTGCTAATTTGTATTGTCTTAGCATGGATGTCAGGTGCTAAATATTCTTCAAATATACAGGGAAGACAGTATTGCAACAACATAGAGTTTGAGGCATGAAACACCAATTCAATGCAAACAAGGAAAGATATCAGAAAGTCCTTGTTGCCACAATTACAATTACACCAATAAATCAGCTTTTTAAAATGTTATCCCTGAAAATGATAAAGAGGAGTTTTAAGAATGATAATAGAATGGCTCAGAGTATTACTGGGAAACTACTTTCATTCATGTTGATTGTTATCTCAGTGCGGAACCCTTTAATCGTTGCTAGCTAGCTAGTTATGTTGAAAAATCATTATTAGACTTTAACTATGGAGTTATAAACAAACTAAGCTGAACATGCTTTGTTTATATGTTGAAAATTAATCACAATTGTACTGAGGACTACTTTTTAAAGGAAAGACTATTTAATGGCTTGTTCAATGTAAGCCTCTAATTTTCAAGGTAAAAAAAAAAATGAGCGTCCTAATCTTAGAATAGACCATGCTGCAGTTTGACTTGGGGATGTAATCCAAGACAAATAGAAGGTGATAAAAAGTTCCTGTGAATTTCTGATCTCGTTGCACTCATAGGATATCAAAACATAAAGTGCTTGTCTTGCTTTGCTTCTGCTTTTGTAGTTGAAAAATAAAAGTTTACAATCAATGAGATCTGAGAATATGGTATACTGATGCTACCTTTTTTTTGTGGTCACAGTGTTTTCCTTAATCCTAGTTTAACCATAGGATCATTCTCAGTAATTTACGTAAAATGAAATAATTTATAATTATAAAACAAACTAAAATCTTGCTAACTGGGCGTAACATAATATATAGGTCCATGATTGTATTTTTAGATCACTTCTTTGAATCACAAGTATTTTAGAATTCACTTAGAAGACAGCCTTTCTTTGGGAAGACCTCTTTTGATAGAAGATGTTGGGGAAGAGCTTGACCCAGCACTTGACAATATTCTGGAAAGAAACTTCATTAAGACAGGTTCAACCAACAAGGTAAAAATAAAACAATTAAGCAAACAAGTGGAAACATCTCCACCCCCCTGCCCTCAACAAAATAACTCCTGATAAGTATATGACTATAAAGAATTAAACTAATGTTTAAATTTGATTAATGCTAATACCAAAAAAGGTAGAGTTTAAGTTTAAGGTCAAAAATACTTAACATATATAGCCTATAGAGTACCTTATCCGTTTGCTTATGACAATTAAAAAAAAAAGTAATAAAGACTTATTTAAAGTGTTCCATCAATATTCTCAACAAATTAATTGCACCAGATATATAATTTAAAGCTGGATTTTTATGCCTTTGAACAGAAAAATGCAACCTTTTTTTCTACATGTAGTATCTGAAAGAGCGTGTACTGCTTCTTGATATCTCAAGACTTCTTTTTAATACTTTCCGTAAAGGTGAAGGTTGGTGATAAGGAAGTAGATGTTATGAATGGCTTCAGACTTTACATTACCACAAAACTGCCAAATCCTGGTTACTCTCCTGAAATTAGTGCTCGAACGTCCATCATTGACTTTACTGTGACCATGAAAGGTCTTGAAAATCAACTCTTAGGCAGAGTCATTCTCACAGAGAAACAGGTAAAAGCATTAATTGTAATTTTTTTCCTGGCTATACATCTTACATTTACCTGCAGAAGGTTTACTTTCATTTTAATCTATTACTCTCTATTCCCATATTGCAGGGTAACATTCTGGCGCTCTCTGTTGTGATTATTCTTAATATAACCTATTTATGATGGTTTAAAAGCTGGCACAGAAGAAATTGACTCATTCAAGTCGGTGTTTCTATTTGTCTTTATTGTCGCAACTGTACCATGCTCACCTTATTTTTTCTGTCTCAATGAGTTATAACCTTATGAGAATGGCCTGTGAAAAGGAAAAGGGCCTGAAATGGAAACGAATGTTCTGTTTACACACTGTGCAGCTCATAGTAGCATAACCTGGTGTAAAGGAATTCAGACTTAGTTACTTCCTTGCTCCAAGAGGAAACAGGCTAACTACCTGTTTTAACACTGCGGATGTATTAGTTGAGAAATTCCAAGTTCAGGATGACAGTCATCATAAACATGCGACCAGCAGTTCTGGAGGGAAGCTGGTTGGTATCTTTTGAACTATTGGACACCTTATCCCTGTAACTGTAAGGTCAGGAAATGTTAAAGTCAAATGAGACACTGTGCATCTATGACTGTGTATTTACTAGAATTTTGGCAATAATTCCAGTTTACCTTCAATAGTGAGAAGTGTGTGTGTTGCCTTGCTGTGGCATCTGTTGAGGTTGTCCCATCCTCTTCCTCCCAGTGTAAGAGGTTCCTCCTTAATGGCCTCAGTCATCTTGTTAATGTCAAGTAGTTATGTTTCATTCCCAATTAGTCCCTGGATATCATGAAAGAACTCATTCTATGGAGGCTTATATTTTATCAGACAGCTTCTTTACACCATCAGCTTCACTTCAACCAGTGACAATTCCACTACGTAATGGAATTATCACTGTCTGTCTGAAACACACTATGATGTGTATATTCACAAAGCCTTATGCCAAACTTCACTTCTGGGCCCTGCAATACAATGCATTCCTCAAGATGACAGTTATTTTATCAGCAAAGATACAAAAGATACAGCTGCTGTATGTCTGGTTGGACAACAAAGAAAACTTAGAAGCTTAATATTTCTCAGAGATGCAAAGTAATAGTTTGAGAAGTAATGGACTCAAGTTGGAACATGGGAAATTCTGATTAGATATTAGGAAAGAAATAATTACACTGAGAGTGGTCAAAACTGGCAACAGATTACCCTGGGATGTTGTGGAATGTCCAGTCTTTGAGGGGTTAAAGAATCAACTGGACTTGACTGTGAGCAACTGACCTATTTAGACCTGCTTTGAACAGGGGCTTGAACTAGTTAATTTCTGGAGGCCCCTTTCAAACTAAAATTATTTTAATATTCCATGGTATTGTTTTTGTTTTGCTAGGACTGAATTGTAGAATTCCTTTTTAATGTTTCAGCAGTGTTTCCTTTAAATAAACACAAGTTGATTTTGGAGCTTTGGCTGGGATGGAGTTGCTTTCTTAATGAAGCTGATAAGGTTTATTTTTTGTTTTTCCTGGCAGATATTAAAATTTTTCAAGGATTCACCTGCATCTGTGATTATAGTTGTTTTTATGTTTTGTTTTGTTTTTTTTTTGTTTTTGGGGGGTGTTTGGGGTTTTTTTTTGCTTTGTTTTGTTTTATTTTGTTTTGTTTTCTCTTTGCATAAGAGAAAAGGGTTGGGAAGTGAGAGCACCAGACTCTCTGGGATAGGTGACCCAGGACAAATGATCTGGATATGATCCAAGGTGACCCATGAAGATACATTCTATCCCATAAATGTCATATTCACTATAAATTGGGGACTTTGCAGGGGACATCCTTTCTGCACTGTTCCTGAGGCTTACCCCTCACTTGTTGCGTTAGCATATGGCCAGTGGCCGCCATCTGCGACCTGAGTATAACTTTGATTGCTTTGTTATTGTTGTTCCTATTCTTGTTACAGGTAATTTACATTATGATTATTATTCAAGTTTGATTTGTTTTAGTTATTAAGTATCAATAATATCAGTTATCTCAACTGACAAGTTCTTTATTTTTACCCTCCCGATTTTCTCTCCCATCCCACCAGGGAGCGGGGAGGAGTTAAGCGAGTGAACTGCATGTGTTTAGAAGTTTGCTGGGTTAAACCAGAAGAGGTATTTTTGGCTCTAACTGGACATTTCTAATGGCTGGTGATGTAGTTATTTAACTGTGAGACAGTTTGCCAAATGATTTGAGCAGTATGACTGCTGGGTGATACCCTGTGATATAATGTATATGCAGAACTTCTGTCCCAAAAAGAGAAGAGATTATTTATCTGAAGTTAGTGTTTTTCAAGGTTCGTATGCACATTTATAATGTTCTTGCTATTCTACTGTCTCTGATAGGCTTCTGTACTTAGAATGAATGAGATTTAGATATGCAACAGGGAAAAGTTTGGTTTACTGCATAGAATTTAAAGATTCTGCAAAGTCTGGCTTTCCTTTCCTATGTTGTCTGGTACGCCCATTGGTAGAATCTGTGTGGCATACATATCAAAGGATTGATTGATTACTGAGAAGAATACTGGTACTGATTTCTTCTTTTCCACCAGAATGTTAAACCAATTTACAAAATGTGATCTGAGCATAAGAAAGTCAAAGGGTGGCTGGTATATCAGTATATATTTAATTCTACTTTATTTCTTGGAATTATTGGATTTGAGAGGCTTGTTATATGTCTGAACCTAATACAGCTTTTGCTGTTTTAATGATATACTTGTTTTGATACATTGACTGTTACATAATTTGTCAAAAAATTGCTTATTTAGTCTTGTAGAAATAGATACGTCAGATGAGTAGTGAAGTTAAAATATACAAGAACTATTTATGACTTTTGAATTTTCACATTCATATTTCAAGTTCCGTGGTGGAAAAAGGCTCAAATTTTGTAAAGAACAGCTGGAGGAAATTCCTGCGCTTGTAAAAAATTTTGTAGCAGACTGCTATATGTAGCAAATTTTATATTTTATGAATAATAAGGAGATCTAGCATTCTTTGATGCAGCCTGTAAAATGACGACAGCTTGTGAAAGCAATTTCATAAAGCTGGATTTGAAATTACCTGCTTTGGTGCAAGTTCCTTGAATTTATGTATATGTCAATTTGGCTTAGTTTTTTTTGTTGTGATTGGAAACTTTTGAAGAAATGCAGAAAATTTACAATCTGTAGTCTTTATTCGCTAAAAATATTTTAAAAGCTTGCTAGATAGATTTTTCACTAAGGTTTTAATCTAAGGTTACTTGCCTTAGTTTGGTCATTCTGTTTCCATTCTTGTTTCTCAGTCTTATTCCTGTGAGCAAAACAACTATATTGTTTTTTGTTTTCTTTTTCTTTTTTTTTAAATGCATTGCACTCTAAAATATGTTTAACCTTTTAAATTGAATTCAGCAAAACATGAAATTTAATTTGGCTCTGAATGATTTCTCAGCATGATAATTATTAAATTTAATTGGATGCTAACATTCTTTTAATGCTATACTTTTAAAAATTGTTTCTGCTTCATCAGACTTGCATAATGCGTGTCTTACTTCATAATTGCTACCTGCTTTTCTTTAGTTCCATTAGGCGTCAGTTGATTAAAATGGAGTTAACTGTAGTTTTCTTGTCTTTTTTTTTCCATCAGTTTTTGTCAGAATCTTTTGAATCTGTATGCACATCTTCTAAGTTATGTGACATTTACATTATTCTATGACAACGTTCCCAATAAATCTTTTCTACCTGGTGATGATGATGGTGTTTCAGTATACCTTTTGTACGGTGACAAGAACCTAAATCTGATAGAGATGAAGACTTTTTTTAAATTTCCTTTTTAAAATAAAAGGGGATTTCTTTTCAAGAATTAAATGCTTGAAATACTTTGGAATGTTAGCAAAATGTAGAAGTGAGAAGACCACAAGCTTAGAATGTGGGAAAATAACAACAACAAAATCCCCAAAATTGTAAGAGTGTTGCAAATTATATAAATGAAGGATACTCAAGTAGGAGCTTTCCTTAAGCCTTGCTAACATCTTGGGTTATGCTAACATCTCATAATGCCTCTAGTGTTATTTGAGAGATCATGAATTTCTTCATGTTGTCCCTGTTCATTTTGAAAAGTAGCAGCCTGTCTGCAGCGTTGAAGTGGACTTGGCAAAAGTGAACACACAGCTTTCAACTTTGGAGAGACATTATTAAAACTATCTACCAGACCTTTGTAAGCAGCAAAGGAGTACTGTAGACATAGCTGATATTTCTGCCAGCTGTCTCACTTATTGTTAATTCATAAGATTTGTACTCTGTCTTATGAAAGACTCTTAACCCATCTTAACCTTATTTCTGAAGAACATATTTTTCTACATATTTGAAACTTTTGGGATTTTTTTTTTAATGTAAAGCTGTTAATCAACAGGTAGCCATCTTTTATATATGACCACTGGAAAACAAAGTAGGTGTATAAGCCACCCAGCTTATATTACTAACATTAATAAACTAAATACTGCTAGCGAAGCAACTCAGTTTGCATTTTATGTACTTTCTTTTACTAATCAATGAAGCATTTTAGTGAGAGACTGAAGTTATCTCTGTTTCAAGGACGAGTATTTTTTGGTTCACTTCTTGATATAATTGATGCTTGATTTGTTGATTAAGGGTGCTTATTATTATTGAGACTATATTTTCAGTATGGTGATTGGAAAGAAGAGCACAAATAAAGATGGCATTAAATGGAGTAAAAATCCTATGCCTGGAAAGGTGTATGCACTTCTGTTTGTCTGAAGCAGAAAGAGAAGGAAAACAGTTAGTATTCTGAATTTCTAATTTTTTCAGGGCATGATATGAATATGCTCCATAGTATTTGTTGAAATGATTTTTCTAATGCATACTTATGTAGCAGGTTCAGAAACCTGGCAAAATAGTCAGAAATACCACTGAAATGTTTTCCTCAAATTAGTGCAGTTACTCTTGACCTTGACCCACACTGTTCTATTAAGATCAGTACTTTTAAAACTAGATATCTTGCTTTATTTTGTTTTTATTTCTGATTATTCTTCTGGTTTCCAAATATTACCATGTATTTCAACAGGAATTAGAGAAAGAAAGAACAGATCTTATTGAAGATGTGACTATGAACAGAAAGAGAATTAAAGACCTAGAAGATAACCTTTTGTTTCGACTTACAAGCACTAAGAGTTCTCTGGCAGATGATGATAGTCTAATAATTGTATTGAGTAACACTAAGAAGACTGCTGAGGAAGTAACACAGAAGCTGCAAACTTCTGCTGAAACTGAGTCACAGATCAACTCAGCCCGTGAAGAGTACAGACCTGGTGAGTGAAGGTAGCGATTAATGACAAGTGACTGGAGTGTATGGTTAAAACAGCAGTACTTAAAGTAAGAGAAATGGTAGCATGTGTTCAAGAAGACCATAATGAGTGGGAAGGATCTGTGTTTTTCTGTGTAAGTAAAGGGTATCTAGGAAATGTCATATTGAGCTATGGTGAAGAAAATAGTCAATATTATGCTTCATGTGGAATTTATAAAATGGAACGATCTATTCTCTCTCTAGACTTCCCATTGCTCTTTATCCAAGTGTACCTGTCTATCTAGTCTTTTAGACACTGTATATGAACTGCCAATGAGACCAGTCATTAGGGTATTTGGGTATCTATATGTTTGAGTTCAACATATATTGACATTTAGGGGCCAGTATAATTGCAAATGCTTTTTGTATCTGTTTGCATGAATGCTTTGTTTATCCTGTTATAAATCCTTATAAGACTCTTGTAAAAGTCTGTGAAGATAAATTTGTTTGGATATTCAACCAGTACTTCAAACCATCTTGCTTTTTATATGTTCTACTGATTATCTGAATATTGCAGTATACCATCCAGAGGTTCTCCAAATACGCTCATATTTGCAAACTGGTCTTTACGTAGTTTGCATTAATGACAGAAAAGTTTCAGGTTTTTTTGGCTGATGCTTAAATGAGGGTTAAGTTAACATTTTAATTATTTTTCTGGCCATTAATAATGGAGCAACAAAGGATCTTCAGTTAGCATTAGTGTTAAACTCACAGCACTTGGTGTAGAGACTTAAGGTTTTCTGTTCTGCACTTCTACTTTGAACACAGTCTTGTTTCCTATCCTTCAGTTGCAACTCGAGGTAGCATCTTGTACTTCCTTATTACTGAGATGAGCATGGTCAATGTGATGTATCAGACTTCGCTTCGACAGTTTTTGGGGCTTTTTGACCGCTCCCTAACCAGGTAATTTATCTAACAGTAAGTATTATTTGTATTTACTCAGTCCTGGAAGTGTTGTAGCATAGTAAAGATTTGTTGTAAACTCATGTCAGAAAGAAGCGTGTTTCTCATTACAATCTTGACACGAATTTTCAGTTTAAGAAAAGCCTTTGTTTGTTAGTTACCAAGGCAAAGAACCTTCAAATATACTTACAGTTCTTAAAAACTAAGCATAAGGCAATTAAAAACCATTATGCTGTGCTGATTTTCAGCTATGCAGAAAGTCTTGATTAAAAATAATCTTTTTTTTCATTGCTCCTTCAACCTGAAAGTTGTTGCTAGCTTGCTGCCTTATTTTCTGTGTTTGGGATCAATTATATTTTCATGTTTTGAAAGTTCTGAACTACAGCTTTTTGTCTTTTGATATAGTAGTCCCTTTAATAAAGCCTATGCAAATTGTCATTCAACTCCAGACCTTTCTTTCAACAGATCTACCAAAAGCCCTGTAACTACCAAAAGGATTACTAATATTATTGAACATATGACATATGAAGTGTTCAAATATGCTGCCCGAGGACTCTATGAAGAGCACAAATTTCTTTTCACATTATTACTTACATTGAAGATTGATATACAACGAAACAGAGTGAAGCATGAAGAATTTCTGACACTTATTAAAGGTTGGGACTATGGAATGATTTTAAGCATATATTTTATTGTAGAAAATTCAAGAGCTGTAATTATATTTCCTAGCCAACCTGCTGCTTCCTTTTGCACATGAGAAGCCAGTCAATTGAAAGAAAACATGCTTGTCATTCTGTTCTGGTGACAGACAACATTGAATGGTAGTTCTAATTTACAGCAGCATACTGAATATTGCTAAATATAGCTTTGAGAATCCTGAGAATTTAAAAGGAAAGTTGTTAAGTATCCTTTCAGTTTATGTTTATATCTGCTGGCCAAATACCAATAGATATATATATTTGACTTAGAAAAAATATTATTATACTAAACATCTTTTAGTTTATTTGGTAACTGCAGGAGGATGAGCAAGCAAATGTTTTGGTTTGGTTTGGTTTTTGGTTTTGGTTTTGATTTGCTTTAGGTTTTTTGTCTTCAATGTTTCTAATTATAATTAGTTAACTTCTTGAAGGTGGTGCTTCCCTAGACCTTAAAGCTTGTCCTCCTAAGCCAGCTAAATGGATTCTGGATATGACTTGGCTGAACTTGGTGGAGCTCAGTAAGCTTAAACAATTTTCAGATATTCTTGATCAAGTAAGTAAGAAGTTTTTAAAATTAGTCTTTTGTTTGACAGTGATTGTCTGGTAGTTATCAAGGCATGTAGTGGGAAACTCGTTTATTTTATAGAACAGAATGAAACTGACAGCAGATAGCCACAGTTGTGGCCACGACTGCGTAGCAACCTGTATTGATAAATAGACTTAAAATCTCCAGGAAAATAAGAAAGTAGGATGTTTCGCACCCTATATAATTGTGATACTTTCAGTTTGGGAATGCAACTTACTATTATTCAATTCATGTAATGCAACTTAAATCTTCTTCCAGTTGTTAGACTTTCTTGCATTCCTGTTGTGCTTTCTTACACTGTGTTTTATAATACTTGTTCCAATATTTCTCTGATTACATGGAGTAAGAGTTAGGGAAAGGGTGTTCAGTAAATTTGACACTTGTATGAATAGTCTTAATAGTCACTAAGTATATAGTAGCTAATGGAGTAAGTAAATAGCATTTGGTACATGCAAACAGTACCTTCTGTAAGGTCATGCAGGGAGCACATACATATCTAGTGTTCTCAAAGCTATGTCTGAGCCTAGTTATGTGTGCTATGGCGTTGCTATGCCATTTTATCACTACTGGAAAGTACTCAGTAGTAGCTACTTTTTTTTTCAGAGTACGAATACATAAGGGGATTGTAACATTCTACAATTTTGTACTTAAAATCTGAAAGCTTATCCTCTCTTTTATTTAGTAGATTTACTAAATCTATATATTAGCATTGCTGAACAAATGCTTGTGTCTGGATCACTTTCATTGAAAGCTTGTGACCCAGTGGCAGTTGAAATGTGACTTTTCTGTTTAGTGAGATTGACTCATTTGATGGTATAACTGCAGATTTCCAGAGAAGAGAAACAGTGGAAAATCTGGTTTGATAGTGAGAATCCTGAAGAAGAACTGGTTCCTAGTGGCTATGGTCAATCACTGGACTGCTTCAGACATCTTCTTCTGATCAGATCTTGGTGTCCTGACAGGACCATAGCTCAGGTACATGTATAGCCAACATAGTCTATTTAGGTGTCATTAGAATAACAGTTACGGGATTGCACTTCAGCACATTTTTATTTAATGCCAAATTCCTTTTTGTAATGGACCTCTTCATTCATTTATCTGAAATTATTTTCAAACCATTTATGCATTTGTTACAAAGGAGGTGTTAGCAAAATTATTCCAATATATTGAACCAATATTAGCCAATGATTTTACCATGGAGATGAGATTTCATCTGGAAAAATATGTATTCTGCTTTATCAGTTCAGAAGATATTTTTTACTGTCCTTAAGTGTCTGCATGTTAGGCTGAAGAAAATCTTTTCATGAACTCAGTTGGCTGACAGAAAACAAAATGAAAACAATTTAATTGAGGAACTATTTCTTGCATGGAAAAATTAGACCTACCTTAGAAAAATCTGTATTAAGGTCTGTTCAAAAGTGCAAAGCCATCTATTTAGAAAAGAGAGAAATATAAAATTAAAGTTTATTAAATGGTTAGACCTATATTTAAGAAAAATCAGCTTCTAGGAGCCTATTTTTAATCTCTGTGTTCTACTCCAGTGCAAAAGGATAAAAATTATGCAATGGTTTGCAATCCACTGAAGTCAAAATGCATTACTAAAAGCGTGGTATTAATTTTATAGATGCTAACTTTTTTTGATTCAGAGAAAGTCTCAGCATTTATTGGTGTAAATGCTGTCAATGGAAAGTTAAATGGTACTTTATAATGCATCTCTCAGATATGTGTTATGTGTCTGAAATGGATCATGAAAAAATTAGTTCCTCAGTTCTGTTAATCGGAGCAAGATACACTTTCATCTTATGATGGTTTTATGAAAACTGATAGTTCATCAAATGCTAAATGCTGAATATCTTTTGTCTCTGAGAAGTAACCCGAGGTATTAAGAGGAGGAACGGTCTAAGACAGAAGCAGTGTAATGGGAAAGAATACAAGAAAGATAATCTCAGAGTGAAAGAGCCTTTTCTGTTTTTTAATAAAAAGAAACAATAATCTAACAATTTTAAAAATAAATAAATAAAGAATGACAGAGATGGTCTTCACCTGTTCCTCTGGATCTTCTACAGTTATTTTAATCATTACTACTATTAATTCATTGTTTAAGGTGGGAAAGACCTCCTTCTTCTCTATAGTATTTGGAGAAGAAAGCTACATTTTAAGACTAGGAGTTATGCTGTCTGATGGAGATACCATCTTTAAATCATTAAAACCATTCTGGACACTTAATAAGGTTATTGTTTTTATTATACTGTAATTTTAGGTGTTATACGTAAGAATATGTGCAGATATAGGTAATAGAATAATTATTTTTTAAGCTTCAACATGTCTTATAAGGCTGTAAGAAATAGCACCTTTAAATACAGTATGTAAAAATAACATGTAAAAATACTGTTGCATATTTGTATTTCTGATAAAAATTTATAGTAGCCTTTGCTCTTCACTTTACTTGTTAGTTGTATTTATACTGTGAAGAAAACAGTATTAAATTATGTCAGAAGTTAAATTTGCCTCTTTTAATATAGGCAAGAAAATACATCATTGACACTATGGGGGAGAAATACGCAGAGGGAGTCGTCTTGGACTTGGAGAAGACATGGGAAGAGTCAGACCCACGTACTCCTCTCATATGCTTTCTTTCCATGGGCTCTGATCCTACGGACTCAATTATTGCATTGGGAAAAAGACTGAAGACAGAGACACGTTATGTTTCAATGGGCCAGGGGCAAGAAATCCATGCTCGTAAACTTCTACAGCAGACAATGTCTCATGTAAGAGACAAAAATCTGAATGGTTTTTTAGCTCTATTAAACACTTAGAAATGAAAATCCTATCATGAAATAGAAGTTTTTTGGTGGGTAGTTAATGCTGAACCTATATTTATTTGTATAAATAAGTGCTCTAAGCAATGGAACTCTCTTTCCACAGTCATTTATTTGGCCATAACAAGCTTTTTTATACTGCAGACATTAGTGTTTTTCACATAAAATGGAGTTTTTGTTGTAGGCTGTTGACTGATGAACATAGCTGAATTGATTGTTTGGATTGCATGAAAATTAAATATTCTTCAACAAGCATTTCACAACTTTTTTTCAGTTTTGTGTTTTTAGTAATACAAACATATTTTATTAAATGAAGAAGATTAATTCCACATATACTGGTGATAGTTACTTAACCTTGAAAAAAACAAGGGTTTATAGCAAAATATTTTCTATTGTTATAGTCTGGACTTTGAATTGGGATGGGCAATCTGATAGCACAGGCATTTTACAAATCACACAAGGTCTTTTTTCAAAATTTCCTGTATGAGAAAGAAAAGCTGAGATGTTCCAATTTAGCATGTTTTGCCCATCAGATGGTAGTACTGCTCTGTCTGCTGCAGTGAACAGATCGAACTTCTTGCACTCCTGTGTTATGAGCTTCTTCCCTGTCTGTATATCCAGTGTTATTCTGACTTTGCCTTAGATTCTTGTTTGACAACTTCATGATAAGAGCTAATTAGCAGACCAGATGAGAAGAAATTAATTCAAATGATAGGGAAGAATAGGTCCTTTTGCTTAGTTTAGAGTAATACAGTTACTTTCCCTTGCTGTCTCACATACCCTATATATAAAGGATGATAATTCATGTGAGAAAGTTTGATATCTATTGATTGATAGCAATAGATTAAGTATGTATATTTGGTTATTTTCCAAGCCTGTGACCCTTGTGAGGGACAAGATTTAACAGCTTGCTCTATGAAACTACTTTTGAGCTCCCTTATAGAAGTCATGATTTATCAGTGTTTATCTACACTGGAAAAGGTAGGGACTACTTAGGAAGATCAGATTGGACAGGTAAGGATCATTTGTGGATCATTTGTTTAGATGACAAAACCAAACAAGCTGACAATGCCTTCAGAAGAAACAGCCCAGAGTTTAGCTCACATGAGCTTTCTTTTGGAGAAAAAACACATTGTTAATTGCATGTGTACCATTACTATGTTTACTGATCTATTTTTGTACATGAAATATACAGAACGTCAAATAACTAAGGCCTTGGTTTTGATTTGGTGAGCCAGTGGTTCAAAATTGACTTTGGAGAATGTCTTCGTTTAACAGCTCTGACGAGCACTTAAACTTGCTGTGTTTTGATATAGCTTAGATGCATTGGCTTTGTTCCTAACCTACAGCATAGACAAAGAGTTATTTTAATGATTTCAACTTGTAAACAATTTTGATAACTTGATATTCTGTTGTTTTAAACTAGGGAGGGTGGGCACTTCTGCAGAACTGCCACCTTGGACTTGACTTTTTGGATGAGTTGATGGACACTGTAATAGAGACAGAGGTTGTCCATGAAAGCTTTCGACTGTGGATGACAACTGACATTCACAAACACTTCCCCATTACCCTCCTTCAAATGTCTATTAAGTTTACCAATGAACCACCACAAGGGCTCAGGGCTGGACTAAAGAGAACATATAGTGGTGAGTGCTAGAGCAGTAAATATTTAATATTAAATTTTGCTCATATTTGGACTTTTTGGTGTTACCATGTGGTCACACTGTAGTCACTGATAGGTTTAAGCTAGTATAAGGAACTGATCACAGTGATTCCAGGACAGATCTTGATCCTTGTTTTGAGTTAGAAGTTGTGAAAATTAAAAGGAAGATAAGGTCTGCTGAAGTTCTGGTGCCAGAAGTAGTTGGACAGCAAAATAAGAATAGCTTTTTTTTTCCCCTCAAAAGATTCCTTCTAATATCTCAGCTCAATGTGTTTAAACTTTTAATCTTCTTATGTCTTTTGGTAGAAAAGCGACGTGTTAATCTTTGTTGGCTATTATGTACTCTTTAAATTGCATAAAATAAAGGTCAAAGAGTCTGTGCAGAAAGCAACTTAATCTGAATTCCTCTGTTAGTAATTTGTGGCTTTTTTTTTTGAAGTTTACGCTTTCAATTTGAGCAACTTAATAACGTGTTGCAAATTGTCTCCAGCATAGAACACTTTGTAGGATAACAGTTTACTCTTGAGAGAGGCAGAGAGCCAACTGAATATCTCTAGGAGTGATGTTTTACCACTGATTTAAAGTAGTTTTGAAATATACTATTACTGTGTTTCTTATAATGCTCACTTACTATCCATAGGTGTCAGCCAGGATTTACTAGATGTCAGTGACATGGTACAATGGAAACCAATGTTGTATGCTGTAGCCTTCCTACACTCCAATGTTCAAGAAAGGCGCAAGTTTGGATCTCTGGGTTGGAATATACCCTATGAGTTTAATCAAGCTGATTTCAATGCTACTGTGCAGTTCATTCAAAATCACTTGGATGGCACGGATGCCAAGAAGGTAATTAATTTTTAAGGGGAAGGTGGATTAGGGTGATGGATCTTTCTAGTAGTGGAATACATATACAGGGTTCCAAATAACTGAAACACAAATGTGATTTTAAATTATTCTTTTTTTTTTCTTTCATCAAACATTCAACATTCCAAGTATGCATGTCTATAAAGCAGAAGGCTTAAATTAGACTTTTAATCTTGTGCATGTTAAATGTCTATATTAATCTGTACATTAAGAAAAAATAAATCTCTCCAGCTGTCTTCCCCAAAAGCTTCAAAAATTTAAACCTTAGAAGTATAGACCTTCTTTTCAATGCTAATTAAGTCAAATAGTTAAAAATGGACCACTGTATTTTAAATATTCTTCTGTTTAAATATATTTTGAGTAAAAATAATCAGATTTGGCTTCTCAACCTATCTTGGCAGTATAAAGAAATTGAATGTGGCTTTAAATGACTATATGAGAATTCCTCTTATATTTCTCACCTTCATATGGTCAGTTGTCATATAGAGGTCTGTGGCAGATCACTTTGCAATTGGCATTGTAAGTGAAGTTGGAAACATGATTGGAATGTAGCTGTATCCCTCTTACCCAGATGCTGGAATAGCCTCTTGAATTGATTGTCAATTAAGTCTATTTTGAGAAATCCTTGAATGTGTTCTGTGAATACAGAGTTACAGGCAAAAAAAAAGAATAGTAAGAAAATAACTTTCTTCCAAAATGGACAGAGATGCAAGACTTGGTGTATTTGCTGTGCTTACATGGAGATGTAAATAGTTGAGAAGGGGATTAGCTGAAGTTAGTGCTTTCTGTTTGGTTTTAGGGAGTCTCCTGGAGTACTGTTCGTTACATGATAGGTGAGATCCAGTATGGTGGCCGTGTGACAGATGACTATGACAAAAGACTTATGAACACCTTTGTAAAGGTTTGGTTCAGTGAAAATACATTCAGTCAGGAATTCAGCTTCTACAAAGGATATGGCATACCCAAATGTACTACAGTGGATCAATACCTTCACTACATACAGGTTAGTAAATGAAAGCTTTTCAACAAAAAACCCCAAATTCACTTGTTTCTCACAAGTTCCTGAGTCTTTATATTTTGTCTTGTCTTCTTAGTTACCTGTATTTTGTCTTTTATGTATGTTATCATTGTCATGACAGAATCTTTTCTTTTTCATACGCTTTGCTTGAGGGACATACCTGAAGGCATACAGTTACTAAAGAGGGCAAAGAATGGACTCCAGACATTAAATGCAACCTCACAGAAATAAAAAGTGTAGCTATATGAAAGTACAAGCTGACTATTAAAAGAGCATACAGAGATTAAAACTGAATTTATTATTAACCTTGGTGTGATTTGGGCTGTGATATGACAAATAGATCACAGCAAGTTATTTGCCCTAAGACTGTTTGAAGAGATCTAGCCTTTTACTTTAAAATGTAAGGGTGTTATTTTTGGTGTTTGTTGTTTGGTTTTGTTGTGTGGGTTGGTTGTTTTTTTTTTAATTAGTTTATAAATCCATCTCCAGTTGTGCTCTTTTTATATTTCATTATGTAGAGTCTTCCTGCTTATGACACACCAGAAGTGTTTGGTTTGCACCCCAATGCGGATATCACTTACCAAAGTAAAATTTCCAAAGATGTATTGGACATCATCCTCAGTATTCAGCCTAAAAATAGCTCTGGTGGAGGAGGTGAAACCCGAGAGGCAATTGTAGCCAGACTGGCTGATGATATGCTGGAGAAGCGTCCTGCTGATTATGTACCATTCGAAGTGAGTTAATGAAATTCTGTCAAAAATATTTACAACTTGATTCATGTGGATTAAAAAAAAAAAAGTGACAACACTAATTTTTCTAAAAGCATGTCTGAATTCATTCATACAGGCATTACTTCAAAAACGTATTTTAAAGAAGTATGATGAGACTCTTAATATTTATAATGAAGTCACTAAATATGCACTGAAGTGTTTTTGTAAGAGCTTTTTCAAAATATTAAACCACTTAATGCTTAAGTTGTCATTTGCACTATGCAGGAGGTAAGATCGTCTGCTTTTAACTAAGGTTGTTGACACTGTACTGAACTGAGGTTGTCTTGCAAGTGTATTATAAATAAAAATATTACAGTTGTAACATATGTTTTGCTTTGGGATTCAGCTTACATCCTGAAGATATTTTTAGTCTGCTTTTTTCTCCAGTGAAGTGAATGCTGAAAAGCTTGTCAAGTGATAACTTTCATTGTCTGAAGCCTAGTGGTACTGTCTAAGGATCCATATTAACACATAATAGCCCGTGTAATTATATCTGTAATGGACACCCGCTGCCTTGCAGCCATTTCTTTTCTGAAATGGCAACTTTCCTTCTGTTTATGTGAAAGACAGAATGACTCTCAAGGTGAGAGGGTTTTCTTACAGTTCAAAAATATTTACTGATGACTGGATAGATGAACACTCCAGTTGACTGTATTCTGTGTCCCCATCCTGGAGACTACAGTTTGAGTGTTTGGACAATTTGTGTTGTTTCTGGGTCTTTCCATAGTTCTTTTTTGTCCTTTAGAGCCCCAGAACTTTAGGATGCTCACATTATAGTTGTTCCCAGGTGAGGCTGGTTGTAAGCTTCAAATAAATGAGGAAAATGCTAGTAAAATAGTTAAGGTTCCTGTATTTCCTATATCAGGGGATGACAAACTTTTGTGTTTCATTATATTTGCAAAAGCTTAAAAGCAAATAAGATTAGTTATGTCAGTAATAAAGCATTTACAATATTTCTGTTATGAAATGAATGTGAATCACCCCAATGTGTGAATCAGAAAGAAGTCCGCACTGATGTTTGTACTTTTAACAGATTTGCAAGGAAGTCACCTGCTCATCTAGGCAGTAAGGTGATATATTAATCAGATAATTTGCCTGCCATTTCCTTCTTGAGGAGAGTGAAATCGCTTATCCTTAATCTTCTTCCATTTTACTTACTCTTTAATGGAAGTTACCATGAGGACCTGATACAAGGCTAAGTGGCTTATGAATGTCAAATTTCTTGTGTCAGGATACCAAGCTATGAGGAGAAAGGAAACTTGTAAAATCTAATGCCCTCTTTTGTTTTCACACAGTAATAGGTTTCCCTTACGTAGGATATGCTCATAAGCATAGATTTTCTTCAGATACCCATGTCTTACATCCTTTTTATGTTTTCTGTAGCCCATTTTATATTACATAATCTTCCTTCCCTCAAATGATATAAATATGATAATATATTTTATCTGAACAGATGAGTTAACATATCTGAATTTAGAATAATGATTATCTAGCAGTCTTCTAAAAGTTTGCACTTGATGAAATTTCTGACCTACTATCTTTCCAGAAGCCTGAGCTTTGTAACTTTCCAAAAGGCTGAACCAGATGTCAGATCTGCAAAGGACTGCATTTTGTTGAGTTTCTCGAAAGAGTTCTGCTTCAGTTATGGGCTAAATCTTATGGTAGTTGTTAGTCCAACTCTCCTCAAATTTTACTTGATGCTTTCAGGAATAGAAATGTGGCTTAATAAAGACATATAGTGTCATTGTATAGGTACAGTTAGCCCTACTGAGTTTACAAGAGCTCTTTTTGGGCAAATCAACTCTGATCAGAAATGACAATTTGAAATTTAGTTTGTATTAAGGAAAGTGAATGTGGAGCACTGAACTTTTTCACATGGTGAAAACTATTTAAATTCCTTTTTGTATAGGAAAATACAAAACATAGATAAACTTATGCATATCTTTAAAAACAAAGCTGTTATCCTGTATAGGATTCAATACCTATTATGTATCATTTTTTGCACCTATGTCACAATAGGACCATATTGAGTACAAATCTTCTAGTTATGTCCATACAGTTATTGTTAATTTATTAACTTTACAGTTTTAAAAATATATCAGCAAGTTTTATTAAAATAAAAAACTGCCTGGCATTGTGATAGTTCCCAGGCATTGCTGATAAATAGCGCTACTATGCTGAGGCAAAAGTGGCTGGGGCAATCATTCTTAATGGGAACTGTCTGTTGGAATTAAAGCAAAAATCCTTGAAATGTGGTATGGCCTACATGCTATTTAAATTACGTTAGCTTATAGAATGATATATAGACTAAATAATGAGTTAGACAAAAACCATAGCCAGTCTCGGTATCATAAATTTTTTTGGAACAAATCTTGTATTTTTGTCTTGCAGGGGGTGCAAAAAAGATGCCAAACTGACTGTTTAACATCTCAAATAAAAATATTGTCTTTAAAATTGTATTAGGGCCTAACCTTGACATAAAGCCACCTTTGTTTTTTACGTCTGTTGAAGGATTTTTGGTTTTCTACCTACAGGTGAAAGAGAAACTAAAGGACATGGGACCTTTTCAGCCTATGAACATATTTTTGCGACAGGAGATTGAACAAATGCAGAGAGTTATTTCCTTAGTGAGAAGCACTCTGACTGATCTAAAACTTGCCATTGATGGGACAATTGTTATGAGTGAAAATCTGAGGGATGCTTTAGACTGCATGTATGATGGAAGGATTCCTGCTAGCTGGAAAAAAGTAGGTGTACGTTACTTGTTTTGTAAGAAAAAAAAAGTCTATAGAGCTAGCTTAAACTGCTAGACATAGAGTAAATACTTATTTCAACACAAGTGTTAACCAGGACAGTGCAACTGCTGGAGTAGATTTTGGGCTAAAAAAACCACAGTCAAAGCAAGCCCTCTTTCATTTATAAAAATAGAAATGAATGTGAGATGCACGTATTTCCCATTTCAACAGCCTGTTGCATATTGGCAGGATAAAAAGCTAGAAAGAGGAAAATAATTTAAAATGTGACGATCGATTTTTAAAAATAGCACTTGCACTAGTGGTCTACACTGTTGCTATTCTTTGAGATTAAGACTTACAGTTGTAGAATCACAGCCAGTAGAGGCTGGAAGGGACCTCTGGAGACAGTTTAGTTTAACCCCACTTCTGAAAGCAGCGTCAATTACAGCAGGTTTCTCAGGACTCTCCATAATCAAGTGCCCAACCTCTCTGGGCAACTTGTTCATGTGGTTGATCATCCTCACAGTAAAAAACAACCACCAACCACCCAACCAAAAAATCATTAAGTTTAAATGGAGTTTCTCACATTTCACCTTGGGCCCATTGCCTCTTCTCCTATCACTGACAAGGATCTGGCTCCATCTTCTTCCACTCTCTGCATATGAGGTATAACCGCTGATAATATCTTCTCTGAGGCTTCTCTTCTCCAGGCTAAACAATCCTAGCTCTCTTAGGCTCTCTCCATAGAAATTGTTTTCAGGGACAACTATAGCTGTTAATGGCAACTGATGGAAAGAAAAATTGGGAGAACATTTTTGGTGTTCACTTGTTTTATTTTTATTGACAAAGTGTTTTCATAGTACAAAACTGAGACCAAAGCAGGTGCTTCACAGCACAAGTACAGTAACACAATACAAAGAGAAAAATAATCATAAATCTTCACATAGTCCAAGCTCAATTTTCCTTAGCTTTTTTTCAGAAAAAGCAGAACAATTTTGGCAGAAATCCTATGATCTTGCTACATTGGCCTTTGCTTTAGAAAGACATTAATATAATTTTTCTTCCTAATTTACACAGCTATCTAATTTTGTAAAAATGTCAAAAAATGGACAATTACCACAAGAAGCATTAAATATGTCTAAATGGAATGGTAGGCATGAATTTCAACAGAGCAAGAATTTGCTTCAAGTTTCAGTGGGATGCAGTGTTTATCTATCAAGTTAGAAGTTATGAAAAATAAGCTTTAAATATGCTTTGCTAATATTATGTTATTTACTACCTTGTGAGGAATTACCTTTTCTTGACATGAATATGATGTTTTAAAACTGTTGAATAAAATGAAAAACCAAACATGCTGTTTACTATTTTTAGGCATCTTGGGCTTCCAGTACACTTGGTTTCTGGTTTACTGAGCTTCTGGAAAGAAACCATCAGTTTTACAATTGGATTTTTGAAAGCCGACCAAACTGCTTCTGGATGACAGGGTTTTTTAATCCTCAAGGATTTTTAACTGCAATGAAGCAGGTAAATTGTGTTTAAGGTCTAACTCTGCTTATTTTTTTATATACTTAAAAAAATATGTATATATTATGTGATGAAGGCTGAGTTACACACATCTCAGTCATGTCACCAGGGAAGATATCTGACTGCATAACTGTCTAACATTTCCTGAGTAAAGTGTTTCTCCTCTGCACATACTTTTTTTCAGTATAGCAACTGCTAATGTGTTGAAATATATTTCCTACTTTGCCCAAGCCTCATGTATAAAGGAGCTACCTTACAACATTATTAAGGTAAACTAGTGAAGTAATGCCTCATGTCACCACTGATATATTCCTGAGAAGAGGTGTTAAGCTGATGAATTTATTTTCCTTTTTTTCCCCTCCCTTTTGGTCTGTATTCAGTACTTACCTGGCTGGAGACTTGCTGAACAGCTATTCAGAATTCATCTTAAATTACACTTCTGCAGTTCAGTAAATAATTCAGTCTCTCTTCATGAAGTGGGAGAGGGTTTTCTTTATTAATGTGTACTAAGTATTTGGTTATTTTTCTTAATGTTTATATCTCTGTCAACATGGTGATTGTGTTGGTTGTTCAGCGTGCCAGTTGCATTGACAAGTGAGCTGCTTTTTACTTTAAAGGGAGGCAATATATCCCTATGTTGGTCAGCATAAAGGGACACATTGGAAACAATAATTGTCTGGAATCTGTAAAACTGGGAAAGAACACTCAGGTGGGAATCCAATGGGACCTCAGTAAAAAGCTAACTTTTGAAGGAGTGAATGAAGATTTGCAGAGAAGCAAAATCTCCCCTTTTGCTCTGAGGTCTGGGTAATGTAATCTTTGGCTGTCAAACTGACATTCTAATTGGTGAAGCTACTTTTACTAAAATTGCAGGTGTATAACCTTGGAATTTTTGGGCTGGCCAAAAAGTAATTGTGCTTTTTTAAACAGATGGAAATACACGTCTTGAAATGTAACTAATTTCATTTTAAACTGCAAATTCATTATCGAACTTAACAGCTGACAGTTCAAGCTTGTTGTAGAAAAAGAAAGTGAGTGATTTTGTTAACAATTATTTATTTGCTGTTGACTTCAAAATGGAAAATCAAAAGGAAGATTTTCATCATACTTTGCTGTATTACTTCCAAAAAGGAAAAAACACTGTGCAAGCTCATAAAAAGTTATGTGATGTGTATGGTGAAGGTCCCTTAACACTACAGCAGCGTCAGAATTGGTTTGCTAAATTTCGTGCTGGAGATTTTGATGTTAAAGATTCACCACGCTCAGGAAGGCCAATCGAAGTTGATAATGACAAAATAAAGGCATTGATCGACTCCAGTTGGCATTTACCAACACAAGAGATTGCTGATAATCTTAACAATATTGAGCATTGAAAACCATTTAAAACAACTTAGATACATTAGGAAGCTCGCTATTGGGTACTACATGAGCTCAAATAAATTAATCTCACTAAGCACATTGACATCTGGAGTTCTCTCTTGAAACATGAAGAAAACGAACCAGTTTTGCAATATATGGTAACAGGTGGATCGTCTACAATAATGATGAATGAGAAAGTCTGAGGCACAAGCGTGATGAGCCAGTTCAAAGCACTTCCAAAGCTGGTATTCACCAAAGGAAGGTTATGCCGACAGTCTGATGGGATTTCAAAGGTATTGTGTATTTTGCATTGCTTACAAGGAACCAAACCATTAATTTGGATGTGTACTGTCATCAACTGGATAAATTAAATGATACCATCAAACAGAAGCATCCAGAATTGTTGAATCGCAAAGATGTTGTGTTTCTCCATGGTAATGCTTGACCACGTAGAATTTTGGTCACTCATCAAAAATTGTTGCAGCTTGGATGGGATATGTTACCACATCCACCATATTTGCCAGACCAGGCATCATCAAACTATGATTTGTTTCATTCTTTACAAAACGCCTTGAATGGTAAAACCTTCACTGCTGCTGAGGATATCAAATTATTCTTATAACTATTTTTTTGCCAGAAAAGAGAAGAATATTTTTGAATGCAGAATCATGAAGTTGCCTGAAAGATGGCAAAATGTGGTTGAACAAAGTGGACACTATTATTGTTTAATACAGTCTTTGTTTCCCATGAAAACATCGCCTTTCATTTACCCGGAAAAATCACAATTACTTTTTGGCCAACCCAATATATAGCAAGGTATTTCTTTCGAGTAAAGAGACCTAAACTGAGATTTTCTTTTGAACCCAAGCTTGTGGAAAGGATTTAATAGCAGGATTTGAAACAGTTGAAATCTATAGAACTTTTCTTATTCCATAATTAGAGAATATGGGAACAGAATTACCTAATATTTGAATAAAAACCAAAGTGACTTTCTGGGCTTTGCTATGTGGTGGAAGAAATAGAAATTATAAAGATGAAAAGCCAGAATGATAATTGAACTCTAACCTGTCTGGTCTTTTAAAGCAGCTAATTAAATGCAGTATGGAACAAATATTAATTCCAATTACTTCAGACAAAGATCTTAGAAAATGTTTAAAAGACTGGGATAAAACTTGGTCTGGCAAAATTTAATGGCATGGGATGGTAAGAGATTGGGCAAGATAAAGGAGTGTTGTCCAGTGCACTATCTAAATGACTAAATTTGAAGTATATTATGAGTCTCAAGCATGTCTGTCTTCAAATGTTCTCTGGGTTTTTTGTAGTCTCTTTATGCAGCTTTAGAGCTAAGTGAGCTCTTACTTAGTTTGAAGAACACATTTAATGCAGAATACAGGTACAGGAAAAGGAAGGTAACCCCAGGAAACATGCAGCAAATTACACACTTAGCTTTTGTGACTGTTTTATTTAGTACATGCTGTTAATGTTTTCTTACCTCATGAAACTGTGAAATTTTCATACTCACAAGAGCTATTACCATTGACTTTCAGTGGTTGTGTTACTTGGTATGGTCTGGTCTTAATTTATTGTATATAATAGAAAATCAAATATAGTGGATAAAGTACTGAAAGCTTTCTTGTAGTACCAGGGCATTACTAGCTTAGAAAGAAATCAAACTGCTGTAAACATGGATATCATAAAAAGTTGTTTGGGTGTTTTTTTAATTGAAGTGGGTAAGTTGTGTCCATACAAATATGTTTCTAATAAATGCTTGGAGAAAATGACTCTGAGCACATGTAAAAGTATAACCTCCAAACTTTTGCACATTTTGGGCAGGAAATAACAAGAGCTAACAAAGGATGGGCTCTTGACAGTGTAGTGCTGCGCAGTGAGGTCACTAAATGGATGAAGGATGATATCACAAGCCCTCCTTTGGAAGGTGTCTATGTGTATGGGCTGTATTTGGAAGGAGCTGGTTGGGACAGAAGAAACACAAGACTGACTGAATCTAAGCCCAAGGTGCTCTTCGAGATGATGCCTGTTATAAGGATATATGCAGACAATAACAGTAAGTAACTGGATTGTAAAGGATCTTATTTTGATAGAATTCAGTGAAACTTTTTATTCAACTACGTCAAAATCTTTTGGACCTTAGGGACTTCTTGAGGCTATTACTATGTATTGTATACATACAGAATCTTTTTCAACAAGACTTCCCAATCTTCCATATAAAATGAGCTTTCAGCCTTACTTGATAAGTGCTAATAGGCACTTTCCCCCCTAATATTTAGGTAGGCCTCTACCTTCTGGTCTTAATGGTGTTAACTTTTAAAATTTGTTACAGATGAGTTATTCTCTGTCTTCTCTGACAAGCATTTTTTGCATTCAGTCTTCCATTGACAATATTTGTCCTAGATTGAGAAGGTCAACATCAATATACATAAACTCTGTAGCCTCTGTAACCTAAACCTAAATAACCCCTTTCACACCCCTCCCCCCAAATAAATAATACATAAAACTTGTATAAGCAAGTACACACGACATAAATATCTAAAAAACTACATGTGTATCTTATATAAGGTATTTTTGGATAACTTGTTATAAATGTAAAATCAATAAAAATGCATTTTTCTTTTTCTGGACAAGGCTATTTTTGAGCTAACAAGCAAGCAATAAGTGGAGTGAGGTGGTGGAAGATGTTTTGTCTTTGAGGCAGAAAAGGACTGTAGGAATGGAAAGGAAACTTATGGACCTGAAGGACAGTGCTGTTTTGTGAAACTAGAACTTAGGTTAATTTGGGCTTATTTTACATGTAAAAGAGAAAATGCTGTTGAATAGAGGTGAAAACTAGGATGGGGTTATCCACTGTTGAGTGTAAAACTGGAAACTTCTGTTGAAATGCATTTCACCTTCAAAAGCAAGCCCTGCTAATATGCTATTTTGGCAGGATTTTGTATAGCTGATCTTTTGTAAGAGGCATGTTCACTGAGAAAGCAGCCAACAAGCTAAATAATGATCATCGAAGTATTAACCATGGCTAAACTACTGTTCTAATTCTACAGTGAAGAAGTTGACAATTTATACTCTGAAATACTAAATGCATTTCAAAATAGGTTGTGCAAAACAGGACCTTTTATATTTTGACACATTAATAATATATTGATGAGAAATAATGTTCAGTGGACAGATAGAACTAATAACAACATTAACCATGCTAGAGTATTCATTTACATTTCTTGCTACATCCAGTTCCTAGGTGCTGATGTTAAATCTTAAACCTTAAACTTAAAGGAGTTTCAACCCATATGTTGACTTCAGCTGGCAATAATACAGTAGCAAACAGTGTGAGAATCAATTAAGGGTTTTCTTTGATGACAATGGAGAGCTCTGTGCTATTGAACTTTGATTCAATTTTACGTTTGCTTTATGACCAGCTCTTTAGGGCCCTGCTTTTTCAACCTAGTTTCATTTTTTTCATGTCCCTTTTGTCTTTTCAGCTACAGAAGATCCACGTCTGTATTCATGTCCAGTCTACAAAAAGACCATTCGAACAGATATGAATTACATTGCTGCTGTGGAACTTAAAACTCATCAGCCTCCAGAGCACTGGGTACTGCGTGGAGTAGCACTTCTGTGTGATGTCAAGTAATGTAAAAAAAAAAAAAGTTTCCAAGAGTTCTTTTCTGTTTTTAAATGTAAACATCAATATGTAGTTAGCTATACAATAGATCACTTCTAAAAATATATTTTCTAAGGCATAGACTCTGTCATGGTATTTTCAGAAAATTGTTCTCAATAAACTTCTACAATAGGCTTATAAATACTATATCTTAAAGTTATATTATTTGGCAAATAGATTGAAGCACAACCTTTGATGTATTGACAAATCATGACAAATTCTTAATGTTCCTATCTCACTATTGTGTGATTAATTTTACCTTGAATAAAAATTTATTGACTTGAACATGGTTACTTTTCAGCAGTAAATATGCTTGTATCACAGCTTGCCATCAAGTAGCTAAATGCAAAGCTTTGTGTGTGTGTGTGTTTGTATTTGTGGAAAACTAAGCCCAGTTGCTTGTTCATATTAGTTAATACCCATCGAAATGATGTTCCAAGATTTATCTCCTAGCCGATAGTTTCTAGTTTGTTTGCTGTCTAAATAAGAAAGGTGAGACTGGAATAATGTCACACCTGTTTCAGCACTTGGAGAACAATTTCATTGTTTTACATAGGAAAACAAATATTTGACAGCTTCCAGAATTCCTTACTATCTGATTCATGACTTATAAATATGTAATGGATAGGAAGAAAATAGTTCTGTAAGAGTGCTAGGATACGTTTTGTCCAGTGCTAGTGCACCAGGTTTGAGTCAAACTTCATAATTTTTAAATGTTGTGATTGTATAGGGTTTTTTTCCCTTTCTCCTTTTTTACTTATGCGCTGCAGCCTTTTTGATAACTAAGTTAGATAAGAAACCTTTTACATAGGAATCCATCTTAAGAGAAGAATGTTAGCAGCTCTATTTAGTTGAACTCTATTTGCCTCACACATCAAGCACACTTACTTAACCATCAAAAAGCCAGTGTATTTTTGTTGCTGAGTCCAATAGGTGAACCACTGCCGTGGTTTAGGCCCAGTGCATAACTGAGCACCACGATGCCCCGAAAAAGGGCTAGTCAAAATATGGACTGGGAGGACTTCTCACCACTTAAAACAGGTCACAGGCAAAAGACAAGACTCATCATAAGGAATAAAAAACAAAACAATTTTAATTTGTTACCAACATCAGAGTAGAACAATGGGAGATACAAACCAGATCTTAAAATCAAAACACCTGCCCCCCACCCCTCCCTTCTTCCCAGGCTCAGCTTTTGTTCCCGGTTTCTTCACCTTCCCCTTCCCCCTTTGCCTGGAGGCGCAGGGGGATGGTGGTGGGGGTTTGCGGTTGGTTTCCCTGCCACATCCTTTATTAGGAGGAGTGTAGGGGAAAAAAACCACACAGCCCAGTGTAAACCCCTCAGGCCAATGTCTCTCTCTGCTTCCACGTGGCCCCCCTTCGATGGGGGAAAAAAAAAAATAGTCCTCAAAAGTCCAATATGGGTCTGCCCACAGCTGCAGTTTCCCTCACACACAAAACTGCTTCAGTCCAAGTCCACAAAACTCCAATCTGGGTCTGCCCATGGTCACAGCTCCCTCACACACAACCAGTCGACCCGTCTGTTGCCACGGGTTGCAAAGGGGAAACCTGGGTTCTGTGTCCTCCTCCTCCTCCCTCTCTTTTCCTTCCCATCAAATTGACCTTGGTGTTCTTCAAAGCTGTTCTCCT